ACGGAGCTTGGGACAAGCTCAGGAGGGCTGCACAGTCAGGCATGAGAAACACCAGCGTGGACAGTAAGTGCTCTGGTTTTGAGATGGAGCCATCCTGGTGGCCTCTAGAGGAAGAAGAGCAGAAAGGATCCAATGAGACATAGCTGGAGGACCTCACAAGACCTCAGAAAGAAAGAGAGTCACCTCTGGTCAGAAGAGAAACCACAAAATACAGACATCGACATCCTCAGCCTTGCTGAGAGAAGTCAATTTGGGGTACAGAGCAGAAACTGGGGGCCAGTGGATCCACCCACAGCCCCTGATCCTTGGTCTCCTCAGAAGAATTTTTCTCTAAGGCTTAGAAATGATTTATCTTTAGCAAGGAGAAATAATAGGGAGCAGACGATAAATATGCACGCTACTGCATCCCCAAAACACAACGAGAAACAATACCATGAGAGTTTGCCAACACAGGTACCTCGCCCATGTGCAAATATAAAAGATAATAACTACAAACGATTGAGCTGTTTCATGCTTCCCTGATCTTCCACCTCCCCGCTCTTCCTGATCAGACATCTCTAATTGCAGTCCTCTGTGCTGGGCTAAGCATCCTGAAATGAGGAGTTCAAAAGAAACCCTGGCATGCATGCGCTAGGCTTTTTGTTGGCTTTCTGATTTGTGGGTAAGAGGTGATGCTAAGGATGATTGAAATAAATCTTGAGTCTAGAAAGCATGACTCCTCATTGAGATGCATCTCCCTGGCATTTCAAATGAAAGCAGGCTGGCCTAGGCATCATCATGGTGGACTGGCAGGTAATTGAGTGCAGGCACCAAACTAAAAGAACCTGAGACCAAACCATCACAAGTCAGCCATTCTCCCTGCTGTTTCCTCATGTGCACCTCTCCATTATAGTTCTTCTCCCTGGAAATGATTAGTGAGTTGCATGGTTCATCATGGAGGAAGGCGGTCATTGTTGCATGAGCAGGGCAGAGGTCCTGGGGGTTGCTGAACAGAGCACACTGCGTGAGGATCTTTGAATTCCTAAGATGTTGAATGCAGAATGACCGGTTTATTCTTGTTTGCCTGGGACTGTTTAGTTTGATGACTGATCAATGCATTATGTGCAGCCTTTTCTCTCTCTCTCTCTCTCTCTCTCTCTCTCTCTCTCACACACACACACACACACACTCTATCCATTTCTCAATTTTAGCCAAATCTGGAGGGTCAAGGTACTGCTTCAGGGGGGTCACTAGGTGGCAGTAAGAGGCAGTCCATGGGTTTGGAAGGGTCTGTGGGGTCTGCTCCTCAACCAGCTGCCTGGGGACCTACAGGCTCAGGGCTCCTAGAGTCTCAACTTTCCCCTAAATGTGACCCTGTGAAGACACCTTGGGTAGATGATGTGGGCACAACGTGAAGATGTGAAAAGCCACTGGGAGGAGTCAAGGAAGAAGACTATCAGTGCACCATTTTGAAATTAAGACTGTGATTAACAACATCGTCCACCCTGTTTACCATCCCAAACAGTTTATTTGATTACTTTTTTAAAAAAATCAGTTAAGGAAAATTGTTTTTAGAGAGGAGATTTGTCATTTTAATAAAAACGAATGGATTTATCTGTGGCCAGATAGATTCCCAACTGGCTTTAGGGCTGAGGTTTGCATTGTTGGATATGTCTATGAAGTGACAACTGTCTCTTTTTACACTATCATTTTCTAATCAAGTACATTGTCTTCACTCCTTGGGCCCTGCCCTTTTCCCTCGGGGTACATACACACAATATGATCCATAATTAGTCATGAATAATAAAAATAAAAAGTTCTCAGCCAGGCACCGGTGACTCGTACCTGTAATCCTCGCTACTCAGGAGGCTGAGATCTGAAGATTGCGGTTTGAAGCCAATCTAGGCAAAAAAGTCCTTGACACTGTTAGCTCTAATTAACCACCAAAAAACCAAAAGTAAAGCTGTGGCTTAAGTGGTAGCGTGCTAGCCATGAGCAAAAAAGCTCAGGGATAGTACCAGGCCCTGAGTTCAAGCCTAGGACTGGCAGGTGCACACACACACACACACACACACACACACACACACACACAAAATGACCAAAAAAATTGTTCTCCTTTGGGCTTCCAGAATCATTGCCTTGTAGACAAAGAGTGGAAAAAATGACACATTAAGTTAGCTGACAAAGCTAAATTGGGATGTGCTATGATCCTCACCATAGACAGAGGAAGAACAACAACTCCCCCCCAAAACCCAACCCCCCCAAACCCAGTATTAAAAGTTAGAAGGTTCATAAAGCATGTCTGTGGAAAGCTACAAGCTACAGCTGGAGAAGGAGGGACCAGGGATGATGGAAAGTCAGGAAATGGAGAGTCAATGAAATAGTGCAATTTGGAAAGCAGAAATGCTAGGGGAGCGATTTATGGGGTGAGAGCGGATGGGTGTGCAGTGTGATATGACAGCTAAATAAGCAAGGGAAAGTTCAACCTCACCACCAGAGCCCCTCGCCTCACAGCTGGGAGCATGTGGTGACCAGACCACAGCCATTGATTGAGTGCCTACTGTGTGCCAGTTCTCAGCATACAGCCATGCTTTCCTCCCTGAACCTGCAGGGTGGCTACTGGCATCCCCGGATCCCACAAGGAAAACAAACAAACAAACTCAAGAGAACTGACATAGCTTGCCAGAATCACAGAGATGGAAAGTGGCAAATTGAAATGTAACCTTACAGCCAATCCAATTGAAAAAAACACTCATTTTTCCATGTTATATCTGACCCACACTCAGCAGGTGAAGAAACGGGACAGGAGGACAGTTCACTGTCCAGTTCTACGGAGTGTTGAAGGGACACAAAGGTGGAGGAAGGCAGATTTAGGTTCCCATCTTAGCATTTTCTCTCATCAGCTGTGTGACTATAGGAGGCCTACTAAATCTCTCTGTGCCATAGTGCTCTCAGTTACAAAGTGAAAGGAATATGTATTGTCCACACTGTAAAGTCGTGATGATCCAGGCCAGTGTTACAATGGACTCCCAGGAGATATATCACTTCCTTAATACCTGCTACTACTTGTGAGTTTGTGACACAACCTTAAAACAGTGGTTTGTTGTCTTGAGTCCATGCATTCACCCAGAACAGCTGATTCCACTTCCTACATCTGAAATACTTGTAATACGGAATCCTACGCTAGGCAGGAAGATCACTGGACTTCGGAGAGCTAATAGTTAGTCTACAAGGAATGGCTAGAGTGGTGTTCAATAGGCTGCAGCTTCCTGGGAGTCACACAACTTTCTTGAGGCTCTTGGTTTCAAAACAAGTGAGAATCCATAGCCTAAGAAAATGTAGTCCTTAAGTTGACAGGGAAGAGATGGTTCTGGAACCATCTGGTTCCCTCAACCATCTGGTCAAGGGAAATGAAGGCAGACTTGCCTAACAGGAATGAAAGCCCCATCTTTAAAGTGGTTGCATACTTGCAGGAGAGGAGACTGGTTCTTATTAGCTGCTCCCCAGGGTGAAGCCAGAAGTAAAGGAGTGGGGTGTGTGTGTGAATATGTGGTGGAAGGGGTCCTGGACCAGTGGTGAGTGAACACTTGAGGCTTTGGTTGCTGTGAGTAACATGAGGTGACTAGAGCGGATGCTCTGTTTTCCAACAACATTTCTTCAATACCGGCTGGGTATCTTCCAACTCAATTCACTCCTGATATTAATACCTGGAGTGTGGAGTGTTAGGGTTTACTTAGAGGCTTAGTTAGCATTAGGCTTAGAGTTTAGAGTAGGTTAAGGGGTTCAATGTCACAACACTGCCCCATAGTCAGACACCAAGCATAAGTCCTGTGACTTCAGGCTTGTATCGAATTTGGCTACAAATTCAAGGAATCTCACCACCTCACAAATAATTCCCTGGAATGAAACATAGGATTCAGGAAAGGCCTGTACTTGTCATTGCAGTTATATTGTAAAGAACACAACTTGGGACCTGTCAGGTAGAAGAGATGCTCATAGGAAAGCATGGAAGGAAAGGAAACACAGCTTCTAATCTCTGGAAGTTGCCTGAACTATGTTTTCTGGGGGTGGGAGGTGGGGTCTTAAGATGGTGTGTGAGTAATTAGATCTTTGGTCACATGATTAAACTCAGAATTTAGTGCCTTTACCCTCCCTAATGGTTGGAGGATAAAACTGAAAGTTCTAGCCTTCTAACCTCATCTATCCTGAAGCTATTCTGGTACCTTAACTCAATGACATCTCATTAGCATAAACTTGGTGTGGAGGGAGGCTCATTGTGAATGACAAAGGATGCTATTGGTTACAACTCAGAATTTAGTGCCTTTACCCTCCCTAATGTCAGAGGATAGAACTGAAAGTTCTAGCCTTCTAACCTCAAAGTTTGTCCCCTGGGGCCCCAAACCCATTCGGAAGCTATTCTTGTACCTTAACTCAGAGACATCTCATTAACATAAACTTGGTAAGAAGAAGGCTCATTGTGACTGACAAAAGATGCTATCAGGAAATTCCAAAGGTTTTAGGAGCTGTCTGTACAGAACCAGGGACAAAGATCAAATTTATTTGATCTTTGATAACAGTGTTCACATCCCTTTGTACGTTCACTTGCTGGTCTTGGGCTTGAACTCAGGGCTTGGAGTACCATCCCTTTGCTTTTTCCAAGGCTCTACCACTTGAGCTATACCTCCACTTCTCGATTTTTGCTGGTTAATGAGCTAAGAGTATCTTGGATTTGTCTGCTGCAGGTGGTTTTGAACCGCTATCTTCAGATCTTAGCCTCGTGAGTACTTAGGATTTCAGGCTGGAGCCACCCGTGCTCAGCTTAACTAGAGCTCTATAGCAGTTTAGGAGGCTGCCACCAAAAGTCAGAGCTACCCGGAATAGGAAGCTATCCAGCTGAGGTAGGATGCTGAGAGGGGAATCTCCACAATGAGGATGAGATGAGGGCCCCAGTTTGGACCAAAATGTTCACTCATCTCAATTGTTGATATGTAGTATCAAGTCATTCCATTGCTTGATTTCAGAATCGGGAGATGCTTCCATTTTGGATGAACAGCACTGGCAAGCGGGAAGGCTGGCAGCGTGGATGGCATGGATATGACAACGAGCTCATGGACATGAGGGGCATCTTCCTGGCCTTTGGACCTGGTAGGCAAGGAGATGGCTAAATACTCTTGGTGTTCCAAGCAAGCATCTGTAATAGCAGCTAATAGAGCCAGTATAGGCTGAAGTGGTTTCTTTATAGACCCTCTTTATGAGCCAAACTGAGCAAACCCAGCTCCTTTCCATGAAACATCTTTTGCTGGCTTCCTTTCAAATGCTTCTTGGTTTTGGCAATTGCAACCACATACTTTTCCTTGTAAATTTTAAATCCTAAGTGCAGTGCAGAAAATGGAATCCACATGTCTGTGATTCATTTTTTTTTACTTAATTCATCAAAACATTATTTCACAGCTATCTGATGGCCAGAAAAGCTTATCGGACACCAGGTTGCTGACAGCTGTGAGTTCCAAAGTTGATATGATTTCTTCACAGGGTCTGACTCTTGCAGAGTCTCTCCCTGTCTAGAGCACCCATCCCGGTGGGGTTCATTCAGTTTAAGGCTCAACCAGAAGCTACGGTGTGTTCATGGGTAGGCTCAGAAATGACCTTGAGATTGACTTTGAGAATGAGCCAGAGAGACTAGTAGAGATATCTTGGATAAAAGCAAATTTACCAAACCTTCCTTGATCTGATTATATCCCAAAGGGCTGGAAGAAGGGAATGCAAAGGACCTTTCTGATCATTTGATATATTGATAGGCCATTGTAAATTCACACGTTGGAAAGTTTTACCAAATATTCCAATAAACATTCTATTGAATACCATGTTCTTGCTAAAAGAAAAGAAAAAGGAGAGAAAAGAATGGAAAAAAGAAAAAAACATCCAATAGCTAGCAAATACCTTTTGACTAGTTCAACTATTGTCTTACTATTCCCCCCTTCCTGCTATCTGTTTTCCACATGCCTCTTCTGAATGTTGATCAGAACATGTCCATGCTACTCTTTCAGATGATAGGTTAGACACCCCACCCACCTGTACACGGTGTTCTTCCCTCCAATGAATCCAGACCAAAGGCCTGTCAACTTACTCATCTCCTTTGGTCTGCCTTGGCTTACTCTACTCACCGTAAAATAGCTGTGAAGGACCATGCATGAGTGTCTATTACTGCAAGTTCTGTGGATGCCTCTGGGAACCTGAGCTTGGGGAATACATTGGTCCAAATCTCCTCCCATATGGAAAGCAAGTTCACAAGTTCCAAAGTGAGGATCAAAAGCAAGTACAGAGCACGAGCTGAGTTCAGGACATCGGCCCCAGCATTCAGAGGAGGTCTGAGCAGGCATTAGATGCTGAAAGTCATCAGGCCCAGGTCAGGGTACAGCATTTCAAAGCCAGAGAAATTAGGAGTGGCGCTTTAAGGACCATGCTGAGGCCAACTATAGATTAGGTAGAAGGAATTCTGGAGCCATGGTCTTTCAATGGAAAACCTTAGTCACCAGGATTTTTGTTTGTTTGTTTGTTTTCATTCAAAAGCCTCCCTTTTCCCCAGAAGTGGGAAGTAAGATCATGAACGCAGAGCAGTTGTCTGCTGAATAGTGAATGTCAGCAGCAGTCTCAGGCATATTTGAAAGCCGAATCAACTCTAACCCCACACCAAAACTTTTAAATGGAGTGCCCCAAACAACATTAACTTAAAAGTTCAATTCAGTGGGGGAGATTCTGCCCATTAATGGAGGCCTCCATCATCTGCTCCTTTAAAACTAAAAGCCCTCAGTCTTTTACAGACTGAAAGACGACCCCTGATGAAAATGGACTGGGCTAATTGCAAAATGCTTCCAGCCAGATGCAGTCTTGAGAGTCTCCCACTAACCATCACGTTCCTGGCTCCAATTCTCATGAAAGATTAAACAGCTTTACACACCGACTGTTTACTCTGAAGAAAATTTAAGAGCGAGGCCTTTAATAGCCATCTAGCTGCACTTGGAGATAAAGGTGCTTCCTCCCTGATTAATTGTCTGAGCTTCTTGCTTAGAGAGAAAGCCGAGCATCCTTGCGCCTGCCCAGATACCAGCCTTCCAAGTCAGAAAGTCTGGGCCAGCAAAGAGAAAGAGAAGTCATTCTGAAGATAGCCTTTCTCGCTCTTTAGTTAATCCTAGTTTCTAATTCGAACAACCTAATCTTGCCCTGGAGAACTGTGCATTCCAGATAAGACAGCTGGAATGCAATTCCTCCAGCTTCGGTGAGCTGGAGCCTTCCTCTGAAAGCTGGTCAAGGTGGTCAAACTCCTTTCTTTAGGAACGTTATCTATCTATCTATCTATCTATCTATCTATCTATCTATCTATCTATCTATCTATCTATCTATCTATCTATCTATCTACTGACCTATCTATCTATCTATCTATCTATCTATCTATCTATCTATCTATCTATCTATCTATCTATCTATCTATCTATCTTCTGCTGCTTATCTAGCTCTTTGTTTATATTTTTACCTGAGCATTTGGGGGATTGAACCCAGAGCCTTAGACCTACGCAAGTGCTCTACTTAGCTACTTCCCCACCTTGGGAAATTCATTTTTAATAATCCAAAGAACTTAAGCCCATGGAATTAACTTGAACTTTCAATCCAGATTTTTTTTTTTAAAAAAAGTCATCTTGAACTAGTGAGCTTTTGAAGATTCTCCCAAATGAAATTGAAGGATTTTCTGGAAAGCTTTGCTTCTAGCCTGGATCATCTTTACATTTGGGCCCAAACTAATATTCCTGCAGAAGAGACAGCCATGAATGAACTAGTTGGAAAAGATGAGTCAATTCTCTTTTTGTACTCATGCACCCAGGAGTTAATTTTGTACTTCTAAAGCAAAATGACAGCAATCCTGTCCAACATTTTTGTCAGAAATGCCTGATCTGGGAAAGGTTTAAAAACTGGATTAAAAAAAAAAGATTGGGAAAGGACACTTTGCATGTCCTATCACCCCCACACAGCAGTGGCAAAGACATGGCCACATGTGGTAGGCAGAGTGGTTGTCACACCCTGGACCCATGGCAAGCCAACGGACAGAGGAGTTGTTTCCATATCCCTGTGACAAACTTTCCATTGACTTCTCAAGATTTCCTCCTCTTCCTTCCCTTTTAGGTACCAGTACTAGGCTTGAACTCAGGGCCTGGACACTGTCTTTTAGCTTTTTCATCCAAAGTTGGTGGTCTATCACTTGTGCCATACCTCCACTTCTGGCTTTTTGGCAATTAATTGGGGATAAAGTTTCTGGGACTTTTCTGGCCAGGCTAGCCTCAAACTGTTGTCCTCCAGATCTCAGCCTCCTTAGTTGCTAGGATTATAGTCATGAGCTAGCAGCACCTGGCTCCTACAGAGACTTTTTGCACTGACCTTGGTTTACACTGAATTCTGCAACAAGCAAAACCTATCACTTAAGAATTTGCTCTGAATCTATGTCGTAGTTTTGGAGCAAGTACAACTTGCTTCAATATGTGCAATTTCTGGACCAGAATTTGGTGTTGGCAATTCCAGAATATGTTGCTGTTACAGTTTGCATGCTTTAAAAATAAAGTATATGCAATCATTTTAGCAAAGCTTCTTTTTTTTCTTTTTCCTTCCTTCCTTCCTTCCTTCCTTCCTTCCTTCCTTCCTTCCTTCCTTCCTTCCTTCCTTCTCTTCCCTCTCCCTCTTTCTTTGCCCTGGGGATCAAACTCAAGGCCTCTTGTTTTCTGCAAAGGTACTCTGCTATTTGAGCCACACCACAAATTCAGCAAATTTTTACCCAGGCTGGCCTGGACTATCGCCCTCCTATTTATGCTTCACATAGCTGGCTGAGATGACAGAGTAACTAGCACACCCAGCTATTGAGTGAGATGAGGTCTCACTTTTTTCCCAAGCTTGTCTCATACTACAATTCTTCCCATCTCTGCTTCCAAAGTAGCTGAGAGTATAGGCATGAACCACACACTTAAAAAGCAATCTAAAAGTTTATTTTCTAAGACTTGACTTTGTAGCCCCCCTAACTTCCTATTTCATTTACAATCTTAGATGTACTAAAATTAAAGGCCTTCCTGGGGTCTAAAAGCAAAGTTGCTAATGTGTGTTACTACATTCATATATTCACTGTTTAAGTGGACAAGCACTTTGTTGTGAGTACCTGATATGCCTAGCCATGGAGAAGGAGCAGGTGCACTCAATTAACAATTCCTCCAGCTGGCTTTCAGAGTCACCTTCCTAACGATGCTGTGAATAGCCAGTCCTGGCACAACCCAGCTCCTGGATTACTGCTTCAGGCTCTTCAGGATTTCTACTGTACGGGCTCTTAGATGAAGCTAGATTCTTGTCTCTATTAGATCTCTCAGGGCCTCCCTGGAATTCCTGACTCCATTATCAGTTTGCTCATTTTCCTTACGGCTACACTATTTTATCTGTCCCTGAAGGCTCCTCAGAAATGTGTAACTGATCTTCCAAATGTATTTAAAGAGTCATTGCCATTGCTGGTGAACTCTCTTCCAGGAAAGTATACAACTTCACGTTCCATCATAACCTATAGCCTCATTGTGGCAGGAAGAAAAACATTCTTTTTTATATACGTTTGTTTTTAAGTTTAAGTAGTTGTACAGAGGAGGAACCATTAACCACAGTCGCATATAAATATAACAAATCTTTATCAGTGTCACCTCTTTGATCATTCTCTCCCAATCCTAACCTTTATCTCAAATTTCATAAGTTTTGTAGAATATGCATTGAATTTTCTGACTGTATTTCCCCCTTTCTTCTCTTCATTTGTCTATCCCCTCTCATTGGAGAAACATTCTTGAGTTATTGTGAGTTCATAGCAGGAATTAGCATTCTATCTATTCGTTGTAGCTAGTGTATATTAGGTAAGAATACTGTTGAAGTGGGACATACAAAAACAGTCTTTTCTGATCATGTCAGATCTCCAGTGTTCTACGGAAGTGGAACAGCTTCAACTGGCCTTCTGGAAAGTTCTGTTGTCACAGAGAGTACTCAGGCACACAGAAAGTTTGCCTGTACACCTGTCTTTTAAAAAGGTCTCATCTCCAGGAACCAGAGACAGCTTTACAGATACTCTTCCTTCCATATTCACAGTAACTTGCTCCACGTATTGATCAAGCTGGCTTTCGAATGCCAAAGTTGTCTTCAGCTGGAGTGAAAGTCCTCCACATTGTGACCCAGTCCCTCTGTGCCGAGCCACAACCACCTCAGCTTATTTGTTTTCCTTTTCTTTTCAGATTTCAAATCCAACTTCAGGGCTGCTCCAATCAGATCTGTGGATGTCTACAATGTCATGTGCAATGTGACAGGCATCACCCCACTGCCCAACAATGGGTCCTGGTCCAGGGTGGTATGCATGCTGAAGGGCCAGGTTAACTCATCAACATCTCTCCAGCTGAGCAGCTGTGCACTGGCCTTGATGCTCTTCTTATTGTTTGTATAACTGATCATACTGTGTGTCCCAAAACTTTGTCAGCAGAGTGTGCTTCAAAGGAGAACCATAGTCTGTGTGAATAATAGCTTCCTTAACACAATCAGGGCCATGTAAGTTATACATTTATCATTTGCTGTTCCTGCTTCTTTTTGTGTATATGTGCAAGTACTGGGGCTTGAACTTACACACTTGCTGAGCTTTGTCTCTCAAGGTTGGTACTCTACTACTTGAACAGCACCTCTACTTCCATACTTTTTCCTGGTAAGTTGGAGAATGGAGAGCCTTTTGGATTTGCCTCTCCTGGCTGGCTTTGAACCATAATCCTCAGATCTCAGCTTCTTGAGTAGCTAGGATTATAGGGATGGGGCACAAGTGTCCGGCTTCCTATATCTTTATGGGGGAAACAAAACAAAACAGACTTTGTGTTTCCTAGAAGCAAGAAATCTTAGCTTTTCATTTCTTGGGATGTGTATAATTTTCCCCATTCTTTTAAACATGCAGTTACTGAGAATGAACTACTGGTTTGCTTCTGGAGTAGCCAAACTTGGAAAGGATATCATCTTGGCTTTCCTGTCTGTCCTTTTTGAACAAAGTTTCCCCTCAGATCATTCTTGGGATCTTTGGCTGTAATCCTGCACTGTCCCCTTCACTTTAGAGAAATAAGAAATACACAAGAAAACAGCCTCTGCTATCTGTTTGTGGCCCAGCTTATGGAGCTTTTCATCTGATGCAGAGTTCCAGAAACAAGATGTCCTAGCAAACATCAGCAAGCAACCAATAACAACAACAAAAAATCACTAAGGATTAGACAACTCATAGAACAAGGTGAAAGATTTGAGTCTTTCACTGGGGTTGGAGTGCATGATAATTTCCCTTGTCTCAAAGAGCTAAAAAGCTAACAATGGGAATGGATTTCTGGGAGACATCATTACAGGCTGTATAGTATGAAGCCCTTTGAACGACAGGCATGGAACATTGATGGAGTGATGGATTGCTTGCCCACCCACCTGCATGTATGGCTGCTTTCTCAGACACTGCCACTTTAATTCAGACCACAGGAACACTTGACATGTCAATACAGGTTGAGAAAAGGCTGGATGTCTTACTAAATGAGAATATGAGCTGGCAAACAGAAATCTGAGCTCATTGCTTACAATATGGTAATACATTAAGCCTAAGTTTTATGTACCAGTAATCTTAAAGTAATGCTTGCTTAACAGCTACAAAAGGATTTTCTGAGTGGCAGAATTCCATAGAAAATGGTGGGGATACGGAAAGGAGAGGGTGAGACAGAGTCAAATAGCATTGGCTATTTGGTTAGGAAAAATGTCAAGATGGTGGTCAAAGTGCCATCTCAGAGATTAAGTTCTTTAAGAAGATCTTAGAAGAGCCACTAGCCTAAGGTGGTATTTTTTTTAAGCTAAATTCTTAAGTTGGCTGTAGAAAAGCATGCAAAATAAGGAATAACTGCTTCTCTCTGTCTCTCGTAGTAATACTGAGTTTTGAACTCAAACATTCTACCACTTCAGTCATACCTCCAGTCCTTTTTGCTTTTATAATATTTTCCATGCTTTTTGCCTATGCTTCTCACCTAGATAGGATGACAGGTGTGCAAACCACCACTTCAGGTAGTGGTTTAACTCATTAACTGTTTTCCTAGACTGTCCTCAAACCATGATCCTTTTGATTTCTGCCTTTTGAGTAGTTGGGCTTACAGGTGTGAACCATCAGGCCCACAGATACACACACACACACACACACATTTAATTTACAGGGTTGGTTTTGTTTTTTACTTTATTGTACTACAGACATAATACACATTCAGTAGACTTTCACAATTGAACTTGTGCCTTTTCCTGATACCATCTCATGATACTTAGCAGTAAGCAGTGAGCTGTGGCTCCAGTCAGTCACTTGATTAGTGTTGCTAAGCTAATGAGGTTTAATAGGTTATGTATGCTCAGTGCCTTTTTAACTTCATGACATTTTCCAATTACGATGGGTTAAGCAGGACATCACTTCATCCTAAGTCCAGAAACATTTGTACATGAGTCCCATTATTGCATTCTAAACGAGTCTACACTAAATGCAAGTGAGACTTGGTGTCAAGAAAAGACAAGGCATTGGGTGGCTCTCATCAGGACCAAGAAGACTTTACTTGGTGTTTATCTTGAAGGGAAAAAAATAGAATATCAGCATTCACCCTGACTCAGGAAGTCTGAGAACTGTCTCCTTGATTTGAATCATGAGAGCAAAGGATCACTGCTCAAAAAATACTAAATTCACCTTCACAAAAGATGTCTAAGGAGTTATGTAATATGTTTTTAAAGCTCCAGCAAGACACTGAATCAAGTGGAAAGGAGGCAAATCAGCCTTTGTTGTGTGTCTGAAAGCAAATTAGTACTTCAGAACATTGGCACTGGTTGTTGGAATAGACATCTATTGTTCAGAGTTTTCTTTCTCCATAAAGGATGGGGTTTTGTTGAACTCTCTAGAGCCTACTTCCTTCCTTGTGAAGGAAGGATCCCTAAAAGACATCCGAGCAGTTGAATTAAAAGTGGATCATCAAATTCAGGACAGAATAAACATGTGCACACTCTTGCATTTCACTTTCTTATGCTGTCTTTCCATGTTCTTTTACCCATCCTAAATATCTTCAAGTTACATAATAAAATTTTAGGTATTTTTCTGACAAGGTATAATTTCCTTAGGTAATGTTAAATAAGTTAGTGAGAATAAGATAACAAAGCAATAATTAACACTGGTAAATAATAAAGAAAATTCAGACTCTAAATGATAAAAAGTTAAAAAAAATGCTTTGCTGGCTGGGAAGGTGGCTCAGTGGTAGAATGCTTGCCTTGCATGCATGAGGCCTGTGGTTCGATTCCTCAGCACCACATAGCAGAAAATGCTGGAAGTGTGCTGTGGTTCAAGTGGTAGAGCGCTAGCCTTGAGCTGAAGAGCTGAGGCACAGTGCTTAGGCTCAGAGTTCAGGCCTCACAACTGACAAAAAAAAAAAGAAAAAAAAAAGCTTTGCCTAAAATAGAGCACTCATTTAATGGCTTGTTTACTAACCATTCATTCATTTTTATTTTAAAGTTGCATACTATTTTCCCTAAATGTGTTTTGAATTCCATAGGCATAAATTCTGCTAGGATATCTTTTGCCTTGGGTTATTTTATTATGTTACTGTTGATTCCAGGAGAAAGAGCATTAGGTGGGCCTTTCAAGGAGAAATGAAAGGAATGATCCTTAATGATAAGATGGACTATTTTTTCCTGCCAACATGCTTCATCTCCAGAATCTAATCAAATTAAGTTCACAAAACCCAAGCATAAACTAGAATAGACTCAGAAAACTCTTTCTAGCTTAGACAACTTCTGAATTTTAAATCCCTATCTTTTAAAGGGTTTTTTGACTGTGAACTTTCTGGACTCTTAGCTACCATCTGACTCACTTCCAAGGTTGCAGGTTCAGAGGATCTGATCAAAGTCTTCAGACAACACATTTGAGTCACGCTGATTCAAAAGTTTAGGTTTGCTCTAAGGACCACTGGACTCTGATTTGGTCTTGGAACATCAGAATCCCCTGAGAACTATTTCAAAACCAGCCAGTTTCTCCAGTGCCCACAGGACTGATATCAGGTGGTAATACCAGTTGAGTTGAGTTGAGCTCCCAGTGCTCTAAAACCAAAGTAGATCTGTTAGTCCTATTGATGGAGAGAGGAACCAAGAGAGGCCAACTTGGCTTCTCCCCGTCCCTCATTTAGTGCTTCTCCAACAGTGCTGTCAGCAAATGTGGACGATGTTCCAAACACACACTGGTTTTATGACTTTTCTAACCAATTCTTTTGCATTTCTGTAAATATTAAGAGATCCCAAACGCGAATTGTGTTTTATCTTTTTAAACAGTTTTGAATAGACCAAAGTCATATATACTATTTGCTAGAAGAATGGAAAAAGGTTGTTTTGGCAAACTGATCATAAACCATTGAAACTTGGTCTCAGGAATATACTACAGAAAATATGTTGCTTTGGAATCATAAAATAGCACCAAGTACAGTGCCTTAAATAGTTGATAATGCTCCTATTAGTATGTATTGGGTAGAAAAAGAATAAATGTCATTAGAAGACTTGTTCAAATTCTCTTTGTACTTCTTCAAATTAAATACCTTTTTTTCACTTTTGGCTTGATATCTTTTGTTATTATCCAATTAACATTATAATTATACCTTAATTTGTGGACTATGAAAATTCTGCCCTAGGCTTATAAACTAGAGGGAAAGAAGGAAGGAAAGAAGGAAGGAAGGAAGGAAGGAAGGAAGGAAGGAAGGAAGGAAGGAAGGAAGGAAGGAAGGAAGGAAGGAAAGAAGAAAGGAAGGAAAGGAGGGTGGGAGGAAGGAAGGAAGGAAGGAAGGAAGGAAGGAAGGAAGAAAGAAGAAAGGAAGGAAAGGAGGGTGGGAGGAAGGAAGGAAGGAAGGAAAGGAGAGAGAGAGGGAGAGAGGGAGAGAGGGAAGGAGGGAGGAAGGAAGGAAGGAAAGAAAGAGATTGTGTTTTAAGCACTTTAGGCATATTAAGCATTATAAATGCAATATCTTTGGGATTCAATTCAAATGCTGTACAATTTCATTTATTGTAAAATTTTAATCCAGTGACTTCTTTGTATATTTACATTATATATGCATTCCACAATCTCTTCTAGAACATTTTTGTCATCCCAACTCCTTACTCAATAATGCATGCAATCACTCCCCATGCCTCCCCCTAGACAGCCATTAAATGACTTTGTTTTAGATTTATCTATCCTGGATATTTTATAAAAATGGAATAATAACAGTATGCTCTTTGTGGATGGCTCATTTCACTTAGCAAAATAAGTTAAGGGTTACAGCATGGAATCCTTCCCCATTCCCTTTATTTATGAATAACATTCCATTGTATAGGAATACTGTAGGATAGTTTTCCTATTGATGAATATTTTGTTTCTCTTACTTTGTAGATTATAATATGAACATTTGTGCACACATTGTTGTACTCATATGTTTTTATTTCTCTTGGGAATATATTAGGAATTGAATTACTGAGGGACAACTTTATGTTAAATGTTTGAGG